TTAAGTGGTACTAATTACTGGCACACGTGTTAAAGTGCAAGTTAGAAACAACAATCCATTTGAACTCCATGTCTTTGGATAGTGAAAAGAAACTGGATTTATCCAGAGGAGATTCATATGAACACTGATGAACATGCAGACACCCCCAAACAGAGATCCAGGCCTTGGAGGCGAACCTTAGCTTCCATCGACTTCAGCCTCATAATTTATTACAATTATTCATCAGAATAAACACATATGATCCTTTGGGTATTTAATAAACAATAGTCGCCTATTACTTTCCCATAAACTTGAAGCTTGCAGTAAAAGCAGTTGGCAGCACAGGGGTCTGGGCCACAGTCTAGCCCCTCCTCTTCATGCATGTTTTCCTCTGGCCACTTGTGCTGTGTGTTTTATATATATATTTTTTATATATATAAAACACACACACAAATATGTTCATATTTTTAAAAAGACTCTCGATTGATTAAACTGACTTTTTAAACAGCATTTTTTATATCATAATTTTAATATTGATACATTCAATAGACAAATCTATAGAATTATTGTTAAAGCTAGTCACGTTACCATGAGAATATATGTATAAGTGATATACAGTATACCTCAGCTTCTATCCAAGCTCTCCTAAACCCGTTTCCAATTAAAACGGGAGTTCCGTCTTTATATCCCAGCTACTTGCATATTTTACGTAATTGTTTCTGCACAACCATACCTTTATCCTTTGTAGGTCTGTCCTGAGCTCATCAGATAAACTCGCTTTGACAAAGTACAGAAGGGTGCTCCTTTTGAACTCATTCCATAATTTCCAAGTTGGGGGCATCCAGATCTGCTAGCCTCCCAAGGACCTCCAGTTGACCTCATGGTGAACCTGCCACCCACACTCCTTTTCCCACCAAGCATAAAATTATAAATTTGTAGCCCAAGCATTGTTACATCTAGCAACTTTAAGCAGATACGATTTTCCTTTCCACATTTGGTAGGTTGATAACATGCAGGCTGTGTGGTAGTACATCAAATAAAATAGTGTCTATTGTTTTTTTATCTGGTGAGTTTACGGCAATCTTTGCGTTCATTGTGCTTTTGAGTTTTTATTGTAAGGCTGTTGCTGCAAGAACTCTCGCAAGTTATTGAGTCTGTTGAAACGGTTTATAATAATATTCTTAATAATACATAGTTATTGAAAGAAATTTTGCAAGATATAAGATAGTTATCTCACTGCAGCATGCATATTTTACTAAACTGTTCTATTCTTTAGTACTTAGGGGACCCTATTTCATATTATGGTCCTGAATACAAATAGTGTTAGATGTTGTGTCAGAGAATGAAGCATGTCTCATTTTTTCTATTGGGTATATATTTGTCATAAAAGAACTTAAAATACAAACTATGCAAACTACTATCAACAATGGCACAATATTTGCATTGTGTTTGATCAAGTTTATATTAGTGTTTTGTTTGATAATAGTTTATTAGATTTTAGTAGAACAACATTATCAGAATTTTTCAGGTGCCTGAAGGTCATAGGGGACTGTACTTAATTGTAGGGCTGCACTGTGAGTCTTGGGGCTTCACTTGTTTGAAGGCCTCCAGGCTTGTTTCCATGGTTTTTGGGAAATAGACGGGCCTAGTGGGTGGTTCTGCAGAGAGAACCTTCCATTCTGATCCTCACAGGTACAGCACACTGCCCAGGAGGCCTTGGTGCACTGGCGAAGCCACCAGCTTGTCTAGACAATATTGCTATAATCCCCAAGGTGAGACAATTATCCGTTGCTTACAGCTGCAATGTAGTCATTATGCATGATGCAACAAGCGAGAGAAATGAAAGCATCAAAGGACTTTGTGACAATAATGATTCCTTGTACTCATTTGATTTTACACACCGTCTTATAATATTGACTAGGTTTTATAATAAAAGTCATAATATCTAACACTGTCATTTTATTAATTTTATACTATGAAGTATATTCTCTATATATTACAGAACAAGTTATAAACATTTAGAGCCGTGTAATGTAAAGTATAATGTTATTATGCTTGTATGTCTTTGTGCTTGATAAATATTCATATAATGATCTCTTCAGGAAATCTTACCGGCATCAGGCTCAGGCTAGGAAATTATGAGATATATATATATGCAAAGTATTATTATACATACTGCACTGCATAATTTCTGAGCCTGAGTTTAATCATATATCTATATAAGACATTTGATATTTATGAACGATTATAACATTTGGGATAAAGACTCCCAGAGAAAAAGCCACCAGAAGTCCTGTCTTGCCATCACGGGATCACTGAATGTTCCTACCTGATGGGAAGGATCACACCTTTACAGCACTAAGCTGGTACCAAGAGAAGAAGTAGAACTTCGGCTGGTGGCATGTTCTTAGGCGATGGATGGTCTGAGGCCTCTAGGTAGAGATTTGCTGATATTTGCACCCCCTTGCTCTTTACACTCCTATTTACTAGTCTAGAGCTTCCAGGAATGTGATCCACAATCTGGAATCTATCAACACTTTTATGGGCCCTTCTCATACTACCCCTCACTACTTTGTCATCAGATAATGGTTAAAGGTAGGGGCATTTATGACCTTTTTAATGACCTCTAAGGAGAGGATAGCATGCTATTTAAGGTTTGAGTAACCATTAGAATGCTCATTCATGGTTCCAGAATACGCTGAGTTGCATGTCTTCATGAGCAGAACAACAATTTGTAATATTTATAACCCTATCTATGGGACAGGACCATTACAGCTAACTGATGGTCTGTCTGCACCACATCTGGACCAAGAGCATCCTTGAGTTTGAGGAGCATCACATGAAAAAATTAGGGTTTGGAGTTTGCTATCGCAATAAAAAGGTAGTGAGAGACAAACCCTTTGTTTGGGCAGATGAAGACCAGGGGCCTGGATTACAAAGCCACATCCCTTGCTTAGCCAGATAACACTGAAGATAAGTAACGATAACTAAGATGCATCACGCTGGTAACTCACGGGATAGAGCAGGAGTGGCCAATCTTATCCGCAAAGGGCCGCTGTGTATGCGGGTTTTCGCTGCAACTCCCTAATTAGGTCACTAATTAGAGGACTGATTGGCTGAAGAGTCCTCACACCTGGGTTTGAAAAGCTGACCTACAGGTTACCCTAAAAACCTGCACACACACCGGCCCTTTGCGGATAAGATTGGCCACCGCTGCCATAGAATGAAACTGCTCCAGAGCAGGTTGTGTTTCAGGATCACGAATCTCAGGCGGTGCTTGGACCAATCAAAAAGCAGAAGTCTGTATTTTACCTGACGTAACGATTGGGCTTCCCCAAACTCTTGAAATGGCTTGTCCGTGAAAATCCTGTGACACTTATCAATCACAGACTTGTGATGTCTACAGGCAGAGATGCCCACCCATCATTTTTACATTTTGAGCCCTTTCGCTATGTGTGCTAAATCTTATTAACTGTTACGAAAAGTGGCGATCTCCGCTGTAGTGAGATAATGGTTCAACATTTTGAGTTGATTCAGTCTATATTGCAACCAGAAAGTTACAACAGCATCATCACCTCCCTTCCCAGTCGCCCCATTATGTTCTTCCCAGCTGGGCCCAGGTGTTCCATGTCTGTGTGAGATAAGACTTGTGCACGTTACACTTGGCTCCCGAGGATGCATAATTGTGGTGCAACTGTCCTTGAACGGTCTGTTTTATATGGCAAAAGGCCTCGATGTCTCCTCATGATGCCCAACAGGAGGCCAGGTGGCTTCCTTCCATGGTTAGGCATTATATTGTTTCCCACTGTTATTAATAATACAAGGCTGTAATCATCAGATGCCATAAGATATAGTGTGGGCCAGCACAAGGCCCAAAAACATGTTTATCTAGTCAATATGTCAATATGTTGTGCATCCAGAAACTCCTAAAAAGGTTATGTTGTTTATATTGACTTAATGTTGTTTTCTAAGGTTACATTCTCTCTATGTGTTAACATGGCTTTATAGTCCATGTCTATCTCATTTAGTTTTATAGTCATTAATCCATTTATTCTATCCTTTCCACTTAGAATTGTGTAATTATAAAAAAAAACATGGATGTTGCTCTCCTAAAATATGTCAACGCCTTTGTTGTCTTCCTGGACCAGATACCCACGCTGTGTGCGTGTGTGCATGTGTGTGTGTGTGTGTGTGCGAGCGGGTGCGTGTGTGTGTGTGATGGATGAAGGAATATGAAATGGGTTTTGAAGGGTGACATGTTTATTTAATACTGAATAATAAAAATGGGAATGATTACCAAAACCACAAAGCACATGTTTGGAATTTAAGACAATACATTTCATGATACTGTTAACTTCAGATTGCTTTTGTTTGGCTTAGTGAAGCTGAAACTTAACTTCAAAAACTGACTTTGTAGAACCAGCCTTATGATACCAGCTCCGGGAGATGGATGGATGCATTGTTAGCCAGGTGAAGTCTGACTTTGTATTTTATAAACTGCAGGTATGTACAAATGACACATCTAAAAAGTAGGCTAGGCCTGCTCAGTTTGGGTTATACTTTTGCTCCCTGGGCGCCGCTACGGGTGGCTGCCCTTCGCGGACAACTTGCTCTACAAAGAGCAAGTTGAGGGAGGCGTAAAAAGAATTTCCCCACGGGGATTAATAAAGTGTACATTATTATTATTATTATTACATCTGCAGAAACCTCAACAGAACATCACGTTCATATATAACTGAAAATGCTCCTGATCCAGCAGGTGGTCTGTCTTTTACCTGGAAAAATGATGGGTAACATTATGAGGAAAAAATTCAGCAAAAAGCAGATATAAGCTTGCTTATTTCCATCCATCCATCCATCCATCCACCCATCCATCTTCTACCTAGTCCAGTACGGGGTTTCACAAATGAAGCTAATGTTTAAAACAATAACCGTTAGTCTCCGCCCCTCTCTCTAAATAGACCATCCTTCTTTCCCCTGTCACCTTCTAATTGGCTGGCTTTAAGTACAGCCGTAAACTCACGCTGAGCAAAAAGAAGAGTTTTGGCGTGAGCGCGAGAGAAGCGGGGAGCAGGGCTGGAGCGGCGTGTGGGGATGTGGGATCCTGTGCTGGAGGCTCATCGGTGGCTTCAGAGTTTAAGTGTCAACCAAAAGATACGTTTGATGGATTTAGATGGGCAGTGTTATTCGAAAGCAGCAAAACAACGGTAGGTTTATAAACGTTTTGTCAGTTTAGTTTTATCCTGACAGAAAAAGCCCGTAGTTGAATAGTGTGGGATTTGAATGTGTTTTGCTGTTCGAGAAGCTTATACTGAAGGCTTTATGCTACATGACACGAACGCACATAGATATATATGCGAAAGTAACACTTGAAAAGACTTTGAAAGGAGCGTGGGCGGACGAAACCTTTCTTCTGGTTCGGTAGGCAAATCGGGCAAATTACGCTCGGATGGCTTGATAGCCGCGCAGCATAGTTTCCCTTAATACGGTAATACCAGGTATTTAGATCGACGCTTCGTTTTAACATGCCCATCACTGTTTTCTCAGCTGTCAAGCACGTGTAAGTAACAACTTGTTGAAACTCGGACTGCTTTGACTTGATACATTACCTGGCAGCGAGTCTGCTCTACTTTTACTTTTTGATTATTGTAGATACTATGTTAAACTGTTTTATTCTTCTGATTTAATTGCTGCTTTCCAGATAGAGATCTTCATAACAGCTTTGTAAAAGTTTCATATACATTCAGCCCAGCTTATATATTTACGTTTTACATTTATTTGCATAAGGATCATTTCTGGATCATTCATGCAAAAACGCCCAAGTAATGTGGAGTCAAGATCCTTATTTGTGTGTGTATGTGTGGGGGTGGGGGTGGGGTGTGTGTTTACTAGTAGAG